TTATTAAAGAGACTGTGTTCTTATTAAAGAGACTGTGTTCTTATTAAGGAGACTGTGTTCTTATAAACAAGACTGCGTTTTTATTAAAGAGACTGTGTTTTATTAAAGAGACTTTTTTCTTATTAAAGAGACTGTGTACTTATTAAAGAGACTGTGTGTTTATTTAAGAGACTGTGTTTTATTGAAGAGACTGTGCTTTTATTAAAGAGACTGTGTTTTATTAAAGAGCTGTGTTCTTTTTAAAGAGACTGTGTTCTTATTAAAGAGACTGTGTTTTATTAAAGAGACTGTGTTCTTATTAAAAGGACTGTACGCGTAATTTGGAGTGACCCTCCATGCCAAGATGGCAATGTCCGATTTACAACGGTACCCTTGAAACCTTGATCTGATAAAAAAATGTGGAAGACACCGTCGTTTTTCTGACTATTTTTTTTTTAATTTTTGTGATTTTTTACTGAGGGTCTCTCAATATTTCCCACTTGTAAAAGAAATACTTTTGGAATGATGATCGTTAATTTTAATGAAGGGCATTCAACCCCGGCTCGTTTCTCCATGTGGGGGTTCAGCCCTAATAGCCCCCCCCCCCTGGATTCGCCCGCTGATGAGAATTGGTGTGAAAACGAACTATAGTATTGTTACGAGTATGAAACATGGAACTGAATATTTTAGTCTCAATTTATTCATTTTTCCTTTCAATAATTTAATTTAACATTTGTAAAGAATATCAGCATTACAATACGCTTTAGTTATTGACCAACATGAAATATATAAATTCATATGTTTATTTTAAATTTAAATGTATTCAAGTCAGGAATACAATTATACATTTGATTTATGAAGGAAGANTATTAAAGAGACTGTGTTCTTATTAAAGAGACTGTGTTCTTATTAAAGAGACTGTGTTTTTATTAAAGAGACTGTGTTCTTATTAAAGAGACTGTGTTCTTATTAAAGAGACTGTGTTCTTATTAAAGAGACTGTGTTTTTATTAAAGAGACTTTTTTCTTATTAAAGATACCGTTTTCTTATTAAAGAGACTGTGTTCTTATTAAAGAGACTTTGTTCTGTACGCGTAATTTGGAGTGACCCTCCATGCCAAGATGGCAATGTCCGATTTTTTTTAATTTTTGTGATTTTTTACTGAGGGTCTCCCCACCTTAAAGGAATCGTTGTGAAACTGAGGGAAGCTTAAATTTACGTCGACAGCCTAGTCCTATTATAAGTTTATTCTTGAGTTAATATGTATCCATAATATTTTAGGCTGTATATGCGAATATAATATTTTAGGCTGTATATGCGAATATGAGCGGGAAAACTATGCATGATCATAGTCTTGCGCATGACATGGGGCATGATGCTCACGCTCTAGCTTCAACTGGGCATGATGCTCATGCTGACGCTCATGGAGACCCACATGCTGACGCTCACGGGCATGGAAGCGGCCATGGTGATGGTCATGGAGATGCACACGGCGGGGGTCATCATGGTCCTCCACCTATTAGGTGATGTAAAAACAAAAATCTTAATATTTAAAATGTTATTCTTGCGTGCATGGAATCTTTGTCATTGTTTTTTTATCAAAATCTTACAGGGCGTCTTAATAACTAGAGCTTAAAGGGTGTCCAAATAAACTAAAGATCCTACAGGGTTTCTCAATAAACATGGTAAATAAGTGACAACCTCTGTATCGTCTTCGTTACACGCGGCATTATTTCTTCAAAACATTTTAATTAGTATTCTAGTTAAAACACTTAACCGTCAATTTTTTCAGATACAAAGAAGGAAGTCAACTTCTTAGAAAGTTCATTAGACACTAAATGATTTTTTAAAGCTCTATCTATTAATTATTCCTTCCATGTTATTGAGTTACGTTCAGAATCAAGGTTTTTTACAATGTAACATTTTTAATAAAGCTAGTATTTTAAAGGCGCTTTGCGCCCATCTTCTATTTCAATTGTGAACATTTTCTCTTTGTATACATTGTTAAACAAAAACAAATTTGCCGATTTTATAGAAAATTTTAATTTGTTGGAGGCTAATTTTGAAATTTTTAACATCCATAAACCTTCCCCGTGAACATGAGGTCCCCCATAAAATTTGGGCCCGATTGGTTCAGCCAAGCAAAATATATATATAAATGATGACAGTAATAATAATAATAATAATAGTTTGGCGTTCTGGAAGTTGTCACACGTTCAGCCTTACCTAGTGGTCACTATGTTCATCATCCTTACAGGGTTCGCCAAGATGGTTTTCCATAAGATGCATTGGCTCTCTTCCAGGTAAAACAGCTGTTCTCCAAGTTGATCTTCCAATAAGATGCACTAGCTCTCTTCCAGGTAAAACAGCTGTTCTCCAAGTTGATCTTCCATAAGATGCACTGGCTCTCTTCCAGGTAAAACAGCTGTACTCCAAGTTGATCTTCCAGAAGATGCACTGGCTCTCTTCCAGGTAAACCAGCTGTTCTCCAAGATGATCTTCCATAAGAAGCGCTAGCTCTCTTCCAGGTAAAACAGCTGTTCTCCAAGATGATCTTCCATAAGATGCACTTGTTCCAGGTAAAACAGCTGTTCTCCAAGATGATCTTCCATAAGATGCACTGGCTCTCTTCCAGGTAAAACAGCTGTTCTCCAAGATGATCTTCCATAAGATGCACTGGCTCTCTTCCAGGTAAAACAGCTGTTCTCCAAGATGAATCTTCTATAAGATAACTGGCTCTCTTCCAGGTAAAACAGCTGTTCTCCAAGATGATCTTCCATAAGATGCATTAGCTCTCTTCCAGGTAAAACAGGGTTACTCAAGATGATCTTCCATAAGATGCACTTGCTCTCTTCCAGGTAAAATAGGGTTACCCAAGATGGTTTTCCATTAGATGCACTGGCTCTCTTCCAGGTAAAACAGCTGTTCTCCAAGATGATCTTCCATAAGATGCACTGGCTCTCTTCCAGGTAAAACTGCTGTTCTCCAAGATGATATTCCATAAGATGCGCTAGCTCTCTTCCAGGTAAAACAGCTGGTCTCCAAGATGATATTCCATAAAAGACTCTGACTCAGACGACANGCTCACAGTACGAAGACTCAGGGGTACTTCAGAATCTCTTCAGCGCAACCACACAAGGGCCATCATCTTTATAGAACATTACATACGTGACGTGGTCGCGTAACACTGCCTTGTGTTATACTGCAGGACAATATTTTTCTTACTTCATTCAGGATTTTAAAAACCTAATTGTTGGATATAAAAATTTCTTCAATTCAAGTTCTAAAAAAATGTGAGATTTTTTAAATTAAAATCTGCGAAATATTAAAGGAAACCTCAGCCTACTTTGCAGCATTAAATGTCTTTTATTTGCAGCCGAACAAATAAGAAACGAACTTGATGCCGAAGATCATGAAATTGTAATTTGTTAGTAAAAATACGGGAAAAAATTCTCTCCAATGAATAATTGACGTTAACCTAAATGACTACGGTATCATGACAAAATAGCGTTAATGACACAAGCAAGTAGACAGCGAAATTGATGATAGAAAAATGACTTAAGTAAAAAAGACAATAACCAAATGACGAAAGCAAAACTGCTGTTTAATAAAGACGATGTTGGCAAAATCCTTCTAAAATCTGTTTTCTGTTAATCTTTTAATATTTGTTATCTGTTTTCGGTTATGAAATCTGTTTTACTTACTCTATAGTTTTGAAGTCTGTTTTCTGTTTTGGAGTCTGAAGTTTTTTGTTTGTTTATGGTTATAAAATTTGTTTTGTGCTTATTGTTCTAAAATCTGTATTTTTTTAAATCTGCTTTCTGTTAAATAATCAATCTAAATTCTGTTTCTGTTAATTGTTTTAAAATATTGTTTTTGTTAATCGTTCTAAAATCTGTTTTTTGTTAATTGTTCTAAAATCTGTTTTCTGTTAATTGTTCTAAAATCTTTTTTCTCTTAATCTTTCTTAAATCTGTTTTCTGTTAATCGTTCTAAAATCTGCACTCTCTTAATCGTTCTAATATCTGTTTTCAGTTTATGGTTCTGAAATCTGTTTTACTTCTTATATAGTTATAAAATCTTATTTGTGTTCAGATTTCCGAATCTGTTTTCTGTTTATTGTTCAAAAATCTGTTGTCTGTTCAGGATATCTGATATCTGTTTATGGTTCTGAAATCTGTTTTCTGTTTATGGTTCTGAAATCTGTTTTCTGTTTAGGATTCCTGAATCTGTTTTACTTATTATTGTTGGCGCTATTTCTGGAGCTATTATTAACACAATAGATGCTTGCGAAATTCAGGTTAAAATCATTTATTTAACTTAATACACGACTAGCTTGGGAAACCAGGTTAAAATCATTTATTTAATTTAATACACGACTAGCTTGGGAAACCAGGTTAAAAGATTTATTTTATTTAATACACTACTAGCTTGGGAAACCAGGTTAAAAGATTTATTTTATTTAATACACTACTAGCTTGGGAAACCAGGTTAAAATCATTTATTTAATTTAATACACGACTATCTTGCGAAATTCAGGTTAAAATCATTTATTTAACTTAATACACTACTAGCTTGCAGGTTAAAATCATTTATTTAACTTAATACACTACTAGCTTGGGAAACCAAGCTATTTTAAATCAAAATATAAAACATTCTTGTGGTTCTAGAGAGTTTTCCTATCAAAATTTGAGGCAAATCGGTGAAGGGGTTCCTGATTTATGATCGTACCTCAGAGATTACTTTTGCATAAAGAAGAGACTTCCGGCGTAGTTTCAAGTGATCAATTTAATTAATAAAAATTATAATTAAACAAAGTATATAATCAGTGTCCGAATTTAATGAATTTAAGCCACGTCTCAAATTACCTAAAAACCGGTTTCAATTGAGCGTCGGCTTAAATCTTGAAAAACTTAATACAATTTTAAATGGAACCAACCATATTTGAGCCGCGGTTTAAATTTAAGCCGCCGCTCAAATTCTTTAAATTCGGCCTCAGGAAGTAATATTTTAATTGCGGGTTTTTCTGAGAAAGTAACTTGCGGATTAAAGCATGGCATGCTAATATTCGATTGTTTAAGATAAATTTTTTATCACGGGCAAAATTATGGTGGAGGGGGGGGGGGGAGTGTATTGTGGTGTATTATTGGGAAAGGTTTAAGGTTTAAAGGGACTTAAAGCGTTATTTGAACTGCAGCCCTCTATGTAAAGATAACAATGCCAGATTTACAACGGTACTTTTTGTCTGATCAAGCATGAACTAGATATAGCTTCATGTTTTTGTTTATTTTAACTCTTTTTCTTCATTTGTGGTTTCTCTGCCATAGATCAAGGTTTCAAGGGTACTATTGTAAATCGGACATCTTTACATGGAGGGTTGCATAGGGGGTCATTTAATATTACGCTTACAATCTCTTTAATGTTTGATTAATTAATTGAGTAATTGTTCAGTAGGAATATGATTAAATATTAGTATATTTGATCGTTCAGTAGGAATATGATTATATATTAATATATCTATTTATTCAGGAAGAATGCGATGACATCAGAACATTTCCTAGATTTACTCCATCTCTGTTCTTCTACTTTCTTCTTCCTCCCATTATTCTTGGTAAATATAACTTTTATTTTTTGTTTCAATTATTTTTTAAATCATAAAAAAATTATAATTAAAGATGATAAAAATGTCCTTACTTTAAAACCAGAAAGACCTGCAATGATGGCAATGCCTGATTCACAACGGGGCCCTTAAAAGTTTTGTCTGAACAAGTATAAATCAGATATCATAATTTTGAAGACTGATCGATTTCTCTTGTGTTTTTTCTACGCAAACAGTCAAAGATTGACATATTAAAATTTAACACGAATCATTTTTCTAAGATAAAGGGAAAAGAAAAAAGCGAGAAAAAAGCGAGAAATAACGAGAAAAAACGAGAAAAAAACGAGAAAAAAAACGAGAAAAAAATGAGAAAAAAACGAGAAAAAACGAGAATAAAGTAGTATTTTATTTAATTTTTATGTTAAAATCTTGATTTTAGGTTTTTACTTCAAAGTACTTCATAGGTATTTAACTACTGTTGAGGTTTAACATGGAATATATGTAGGTTTGAACTAGGGTTTCCAAGGCAAGTGGATTTTACTTGCGCGCAATTCCGCGCAAATCAACACAATTCTGCACACTTCGAGCACAATTTCGCGCAACAGAATTTCGATTGGAGACCTAGACCCTCGTTCGAACAAAAAAGCATATTTTGATCTGATTGATATTTCAGAATCTGCGTTTTCTCTTCACAACAAGGTCTTCATGGACAACTTGCGTAGTATCATCCTATACGCAGTCTTTGGAACTATCTGTAACTTCCTCATGATCGGTGAGTATATGGGGGGCCTTTTACGCAGTCTTAGGAACTATCTGTATCTTCCTTATGATCGGTGAGTAGAGGGGGGGGGGCATTTTATGGAGTCTTAGGAACTATCTGTAACTTCCTCATTATTGGTGAGTATATGGGGGGGCATTTTATGCAGTCTTAGGAACTATCTGTATCTTCCTTATGATCGGTGAGTATATGGGGGGCATTTTACGCAGTCCCAAAGCACTCTCATTTTTTAAACGATCATCCTTAAACTTCTTGACACTTTCAGAGTAAAAATTTTAGCTTGTAAATGTTGCATTAAATGATCACATCACATTTTTTTTGTTTGTATAAATTAAAATAAACAAATTTTGTAGATTTTCCAGTTTTTTGGAGGCAATTTTATCAACTCGTGCATTTAACATGCATGTACCTTAAAAGCATTTGCTAGAATTTTTAAGTCATGAAATCCTAATTAAACCATTTTATTTAGGTGGTTTATTGATTCTATTCTACAACATAAAATGGATGGGATCCAGTACAGTTTATAAATCAGAGTTTACTCAAAGGAAAATACTTAATTACAATATTTACCAATCTTATACACATAATTCAATATTTACCAATCTTATACACATAATTCAATATTTACCAATCTTATACACATAATTCAATATTTACCAATCTTATACACATAATTAATGTTAAACATGTCAAAAAAACAATAAAGTTTTCATGATAAACTTCCAAAAAAGTCTTTTACAGTAAGACTCATAAGTCTGTAAAATAGCAAGACGACATTTAATCTTATTTGTATTTTATGTTGTTACAAGGCAAATAGTTTAACCTGCAGTAACTTAAAAATCAGCATGTTAAAGGGAGTGACCGGCAATGTATTTTAGTTGAACTAATGTAGTATTGTGGAGATTTTTATAGGATTCATTTGAGACATATAAAACGTTTTAATGATGTATAATTACTGAGTTTGAGCACAAATTCGATGTTCAAACTCATCCATTTGGATTTTGGGTGGTTAAGTTTGAAGATCCGATTTTTTTAATTATTAAACAACGACGACAAAAAAGGTTTTAAAAATTCTGTAGTGAACTAATTAGATGTTAAGGAACATATTTCTCAATTGAAATTTTCTCAAAAAATCAATGTACGAATCAATTATTTCTTTTTCATCATTATATTGAATTTCTTATTCTTTATGAATTAGTTCACAGATTTTATTCAACATCTTCTAATGTCGTCTTTTCAATAAAAAATCCAGGAAATCTACAGAACTATGAGACATTACAGAAACCAATAACTAAATAAGATTACTTATTTTCGATAATAATAGTTAACTTTTGTTGATTTTTATTATTTAAACCTTATTAATTTTTACTGTAGATTTTTACTACATTTTTCGTCGTCGTTATTGAATAATTTAATAAAAACTTATTCTCAAAATCATCCCTCAAAGGAGGATTTTAAATACTCAATTCAACTACTATGCATTGCTGGTCACTCCTTTTAAGGGAATAGGTCGTCTTTCTGTTCCACAGTGTTATGTATCGCACTGTTGTGTTTTCACTTTTTGATTATTTTGTCTAAATGTTGTATTTTTAGAGCAATTGAGCCTCATCATTTGAATTTTACAGGTAACGTCAAAAATTAAAGAAAAATTAAATATGTATTTTTTATAAATCGTTAGTCGAAATTTTTCTTCTATAATGACAAATATTTTATGCATATTTGAATTGGAGAAAGTCTATTTTCGGCTCAAAATTGAAAGAAAAAGATTTTGAAAATATTTTAGTTATAATTCTCCTTCTTGTCTAATGCTTGGCAGAGACATTATAGATTCTATATTGTGATTTTTTAATGTTAAAATAAATAATTTTGAAAGATTTTGTCGGAGAAGTGCTCGGCGACATACAGAAAATTTTTATTTAAACCTTTGTCAAAAAACCGGATATGAATCTTTTACATTGTTTACGGAGCAATCAAAGTATTTTTGTTTTAAATTACTTTCTTTATGTATGAATATCTGAAAGGTCCGGCGTTGCCCGTGGAAAAAAAGAGAAACTTGAGAAAAAAAAATTCGAAAAATACACCCCCTGGCCACCCATGAGTGTCCACACAAAATTTTAGCCTTATCGGTCCAGCCTTTTGGCCGGCTATGCGCAACATGTATATGAATGTCTTGTTTTATTATATAGATTATAAGAGAAAATATTTGCAGTTATTTAGATTATTTTGATTAAATCTGCTGACGGGTCGGGTTTTTAATTTATTAAAAATAATTTTAATTATATTTTAGTTCCTGAGGAGAACGAGTTCACGTCAATGACGAATATTCAAATTTTGCTGTTTGCTAGTTTAATATCAGCTGTTGATCCTGTAGCTGTATTAGCAGTATTTTCAGAGGTATTTACAGTACATTTACAGTACACTTACTAGTTTAATATCAGCTGTTGATCCTGTAGCTGTATTAGCTGTATTCTCAGAGGTACATACTGTACACTTACAGTACACTTACAGTACTCTTACAGTTCACTTGCATTACACTCTCAATACACTTACAGTACACTTACCGTAAACTTACAGTACACTTACCGTACACTTACCGTACACTTACAGTACACTTACAGTACACTTACAGTACACTTACAGTACACTTACCGTACACTTACCCTACACTTACCCTACACTTACCCTACACTTACCCTACACTTACCCTACACTTACCCTACACTTACCCTACACTTACAGTACTCTTACAGTACTCTTACAGTATTCTAACGGTGCACATATAGTCCATTTGTAACAAAGTGATGAATCATTCTTGAATTAATTCATTATAAATGTATGTTAAACACGGTTTAAACATCCTTTTTGTTCATGATTCTATAAATTTAAAATTTTATTAGATCGTATCAAAGTTTTCTGAAGTATAGTAAAATTTTACAGTACATTTACAGTACACTTACTAGTTTAATATCAGCTGTTGATCCTGTAACTGCATTAGCTGTATTCTTAGAGGTACATACTGTACACTTACAGTACTCTTACAGTTCACTTGCATTACATTCTCAATACAGTTGCAGTACACTTACCGTACACGTACAGTACACTTACCGTACACGTACCGTACACTTACCGTACACTTACCTACACTTACAGTACACTTACAATACACTTACCGTAACTTACCGTACACTTACAGTACTCTTACAGTATACTAACAGTGCACTTGCGGTACGCTTGCGGTGCACATATAGTCCACTTGGAACAAAGTGATGAATTATTCTTGAATTAATTCATTATAAGTGTTTGTTAAACACGGTTTAAACATCCTTTTTGTTCATGATTCTATAAATTTAAAATCTTATTAGATCGTATCAAAGTTTTCTGAAGTATAGTAAAATTTACTGAATAGTTAAACTGAACAGCATACAACTTTAAATTGAATGAAGTCACAGAACAAAAGTTTTACATCAACCTGAGCTGAGAACTTTGTATTGAGATCAATGTTTTATCTCAATCTAATTGTTAATCTAAAGATTAAATTAATCTTTTTTAGATATCCCCCATGGCAATTGTACCCAGTTAAGGGTTGATGGGATTTTTGATTAAAAGAGGAATTAATAAGCTATGTTTACAGATCCTCAAAATTAAAGTTGCCCAAAGTGGATATCAAGTTCAAGCAATCGGGATTACGAATATTTAACAGCCACAAAAGTTCCCAGCTCTGTTGTATTTTCCCGCATTTTTTCTTAGTTTTGTAAACCTTTCAATCTTTAGGTTGGAGTGAATCCTGATTTATATTATATGGTGTTTGGTTTAGGTTGGAGTAAATCCTGATTTATATTATATGGTGTTTGGTTTAGGTTGGAGTGAATCCTGATTTATATTATATGGTGTTTGGTGAATCCCTCCTGAACGACGGTGTAGCTGTGGTACTCTACAATATGATGAATGCTTTTGCAGGTTTGACAGTTTTAGATAATCCTATATGATGATAAATATGAAATTCAACAAATAACTAGAAATAACCAGTAATAATCTCTTTGTTGCCTAGATTAAACTTTGTTCCCAGAATAAACTACGTCTTAACTTGTTGCTAAAAAGATTTCTAGGCCTTTTCAGGCTGTATAGACACACCCTTTCTTCTGCGCAAGATAGGCAATAGGCATCCTTGTAATTTCCCAAAACCATATATAAACATTTTATTTTTTATCATAGAGGTCTGAAAAAACTGAACTAAAGAAAGTATAAACCCAGAGGTCCTGATCTAATACCGTAAAAAGTTAAAATTTCTAGAATTATTTTTAGATTCATATTTTATATATATATATGCGAATTAGCGCACAGGTTATACTTAGCACATGCTAAATGTTTGTTATTCTAGGGACTGTCATTTTATTTTTAGTTTTATTTAAAGAGATGAACACCTGATTCACAACTGTACCCTTGAACTTTTACTTGATAAATAATCTGGAAGTTATTTTCGTATTTTACTTTAAAAAGTATTGCAAGATAATTAAATTTCAATGCACTCTTGATCAGACATAGTGCTTTAGGGTACCGTTGTGTTTAGGACATGCCACTAAATGGAGTCACCTAGTCTATATCAGAAATTCTATTTATAATTTTTTTCGCAGATTTTATATAACATTATGTGAAGCTGTAAAAAAGACGACATTTGATTTAAAATTGCAAATATCCAGGTTTGGAGTCAACTGGAGCGGAGGTCACTGGGCTTCATATTATTACTGGAATTGGATCTTTCTTCACAGTTGCTCTAGGCACAGTCAAGTCTTTCAATCTATGTACAGACATGTACACTTTACATTGTGCAGACACGTGCAGTGTACATTGTGGAGACATGTACAATGTACATTGAGTATACATGTACAGTGTACATTGTGCAGACATGTACAGTGTACATTATGCAGACATGTACAGTATACATTGTGTAGACATGTACAGTGTACATTGTGCAGACAAGTACAGTGTACATTGTGTCAGGTGGATTGTTTGTTGGTTTTGTGTTTGGATTGATTACTGCAGTAGTTACAAAATACACTACAGACATAGTGGCATTAGGAAATATATCTTTAATCTAAATATAAAAAATTTAAAAATCTGACTTTGATAAAATTTAATCTCCATTGCAGCCTGATGTCATAGACCTTTGATATTTCATAATATGAATTCTGTTAGATCAAATGGTCTTAAGTTTGCACCGTCAGGTTGCAAAGAAAAAGGGATTTAAAAAATCTGAGTTTGTGGCAAGTGTTTAATTCTTTAATTTATAAACGAATTTATTAATCGCCGTTTGCAAACCTTTTATATTTCAAACTTAGACTATTTAGCAGAATTCATAGATTGAAATATCAAAAGTATTTGCCACCAGGTTGCACAGATATAGGGAACGAAAAATTTGATTTTGAGGCGCGTAATCAGTTGCTTGAAACTGATAAGCAACTATAAACTTCTTCAGGGATTTATATTTCCCTGAAAAGAATATATATATATATGTTCTGGAAAAGGCATTTCTTTGAAAATCATATTGATATTCATTTTATCCGCCCTCCCCCACCTCCAATCTTTGAAATATAGTCTACGCCTTTGCTGTGCCCTAGTTAAAGGTATATTGTGCAGAACCCTTGGCAGTCTTCAGTTTGGCTTATCTTTCATACGTATTCGCTGACTTGGTCAATTGGTCTGGTATCATCAGTCTTATAGGTAGGTTTCTGGTAACAGAAGTTGTTATAGGTACGTTTCTGGTATCAGAAGTTGTTTAAGGTAGGTTTCTGGTATCAGAAGTTGTTAACGATTTCTGATATAAGCTTTATAGGTAGCTTTCTGGTATCAATATTATTTGTAGGTTTCTGGTATTAATCTCATAGTTAGGTTTTATCATTAGTCTCTTTGGTAAGTGTCTGGTTATCAGTCTTATTGGTCAGTTTCTGGTATTAGCATTATTTGTATGTAGGTTTCTGGTATCATCAGTCTTATATGGTAGTTTCTGGTATCAGCTTTATTTGTAGATTTCTGGTATCCATCTCATAGTTAGGTTTTTATCATTAGTCTCTTTGGTAAGAGTCTGATTATCAGTCTTATTGGTAAGTTTCTGGTATTAACATTATTTATATGTAGGTTTCTGGTATCATCAGTTTTATAGGTAGGTTTCTGGTATCATAAGTCTTATAGGTAGGTTTCTGGTATCATCAGTTGTATAGGTAGGTTTCTTGTATCATCTGTCTTATAGGTAGGATTATTGTATAATCTGTCTTTTAGGTAGGCTTCTTGTATCATCTGTCTTATAGGTAGGTTTCCTGTATCATCTGTCTTATAGGTAGGTTTCTGGTATGCTTTATAGGTAGCTTTCTGGTATCAATATTATTTGTAGATTTCTGGTATTAATCTCTAGTTAGGTTTTATCATTAGTCTCTTTGGTAAAAGTCTGGTTATCAGTCTTATTGGTAAGTTTCTGGTATTAGCAGTATTTGTATGTAGGTTTCTGATATCATCGGTCTTATAGGTAGGTTTCTGGTATTGTTAGTTTTGATAGGTAGGTTTCTGGTATCAGTATTATAGGTGGTATCCTCAGTCATATAAGATGGTTTCTGGTTTCTTGTATTGTTAGTCGTATAGGTAGGTTTCTGGTATTAGTCTTATAGGTAGGTTTCTGGTATCAGTCTTTTAAGCAGGGTTCTGGTATCATTAGTTTTATAGGTTGGTTTCTGGTATCAGTATTATAGGTAGGTTTCTGGTATCATCAGTCTTATATTTAGGTTTCTGGTATCATCAATCTTATATTTAGGTTTTTGGTATAATCAGCCTTATAGATAGGTTTCTGGTAAAATTTTTATAGTTAAGTTTCTGGGATCAGTCTTGCAGGTAAATTTTTGTATCAGTCTTAAAGGTAGGTTTCTGGTATAATTTTTATAGGTAGGTTTCTGGTATCAATATTATAAATAGGTTTCTGGTATCAGTCTTATAGGTAGGTTTCTGGTAATAGTTTTACTGGTAGGTTTCTGGTATCATCATTTTATAGGTAGGTTTCTGGTTTCATCAGTTTTATAGATATGTTTCTGGTATCATCTGTCGTTATAGGTAGGTTTCTGGTATCTTAAGTCATATTGGTGTCTGGTATCAGTGTTCTCCTGAAGGTTGATAAGCTTTGTTGTCACAGCATAAGAATATCTAGAACATTAACCAGAGAAAAGAAACACTTTGGAGGCTCGGTTACCAACAAATATATTTATTAGACGAAGCAAAAACCAAGCAGCTGCCGAACCCTTAAACATAATCCAGAACGAATTTATAAGTTTTATAAACTTTAATGGCGGTCTAATGAGGTTAAGAAGGAAAAAAAAATATTTGAAGGATGATGACATGTCAGGGCGGAAAAGACCAGCAAGACCTAAAATATAGTCAAAAATATTGCAAAATTTTTAAACCATAATAGCAAGGGTTCAAGAAGTATGTTTGTCAGACAGCCTGATATATGCTTTTACATTGTAAACAAAGTTGTAAAGCAAGGATTTAAAAATGAAAGAGATCTGGGTTAAATTTGTCCCAAAGTCTTGGACCTAGGACCAAAGGGATTACATTGATTATGGATGTTAAATGTAAATCAAAACCAGAAAAATCCTGAAAAGTCCTTCCTACATTCAATACTCAATCTCTTTTTTATATTGATCGCTCTTCTAGGGTCTAAAACAGACTCTGATGAATTAAGTTTGAGACCGTTCTGAAAATGTTCTTGCTGTAACGAACGAAGCTGAAAACGCTCCTTACATTACAACAAAGATCTGATTGACATGAAAATAATACGGTATAAAATATGAGACTCAGAACTAATAAACCCCAGCACAAGTCTCTTAGGCAAGTTTCTGGTAATAAGCTGGATGTAGTTTCTGGTATTAGTTTTATCAGTAGGTTCCCCAGATCAGTCTTTCAGGTAGGTTTCTGGTATGTAGGTAGGTTTTTGGTATTTTTGGTAGGTTTCTGGTATTTAGGTAGGTTTCTGATATTTAGGTAGGTTTTTGGTATATAGGTAGGTTTCTGGTATTATCCGAGACTGATGAGTAGATTTCATAGGACTTCAATATAGTATTAGTTCTTGTGACTCTTAAATTGCTACAACTAGATTTTTCTTTGTTTGTACTTTTATAGATTTTGTAGAAAAAAGTTTTTTTTTATCTATTCTAATTTAGGATGTGGTATGCTACAGGCTCACTACGCTTTCAAAAACATATCTGAGCATGGTCACACTTGTATTCAGTAAGTTTAAATAATTTGTTTTCTATGAAAGGGACTGTAAGCGTAGTTTCAAGCGACCCGTCATGCAAAGATGGCAATGCCGGATTTACAATGGTATAATTAAAAGCTTTGTCTGATCAAGTATGCATTTTATATCCATTTTTTCTAATTTTGAAATCTGATTATTTTCAATTGTGGTTTCTCTTCATATGTGACTTGCGCATTTCTATGTGCAGGAAACAATGTAAGAAACACTTTTAACCATAGTAAATCGACTATATCTTTCACATTATTGATCAACTATATAACGGTTTCAATGGTTTCGCGTGTATTCATCAAGATGTTGGCCGGTCTGTGTGATTGTATTATCTATGTGTAGTGTATTCATCAAGATGTTGGGCGGTCTATGTGATTGTATTATCTGTGTTTAGTGTTTTCATCCATATTTTGGGCGGTCTATGTGATTGTATTATTTATGTTTAGTGTATTCATCAAGATGTTGCCCGGTCTATGTGATTGTATTATCTATGTTTAGTGTATTCATCAAGATGTTTAGTCTATGTGATTGTATTATCTATGTTTAGTGTATTCATCAAGATGTCCAGTCTATGTGATTGTATTATCTATGTTTAGTGTATTCATCACGAATTTGGGCGGCCTAAGTGATTGTATTATCTATGTTTAGTGTATTCATCATGATGTCCAGTCTATGTGATTGTATTATCTATGTTTAGTGTATTCATCAAGATGTCTAGTCTATGTGATTGTATTTTCTATGTTTAGTGTATTCATCAAGATGTCCAGTCTATGTGATAGTATTTTTTATGTTTAGTGTATTCATCAAGATGTCCAGTCTATGTGATTGTATTTTCTCTGTTTAGTGTATTCATCAAGATGTCCATTCTATGTGATTGTATTATCCATGTTTAGTGTATTCATCACGAATTTGGCCGGTCTTTGTGTTTGTATTATCTATGTTTAGTGTATTCATAAAGATGTTGGCCGGTCTATGTGATTGTATTATCTATGTTTAGTGTATTCATCACGAATTTGGCCGGTCTTTGTGTTTGTATTATCTATGTTTAGTGTATTTGGCCGGTCTTTGTGTTTGTATTATCTATGTTTAGTGTATTCATAAAGATGTTGGCCGGTCTATGTGATTGTATTATCTATGTTTAGTGTATTTATCAAGATGTTGGCCGGTCTATGTGATTGTATTATCTATGTTTAGTGTTTTCATCAAGATGTTGGGCGGTCTATGTGATTGTATCATCTATGTTGAGTGTATTCATCAAGATGCTGGGCGGTCTATGTGATTGTATTATCTATGTTTAGTGTATTCATCAAGATGTCCAGTCTATGTGATTGTATTATCTATGTTTAGTGTTTTCATCAAGATGTTGGCCGGCCTAAGTGATTGTGTTATCTATGTTTAGTGTATTCATCAAGATGTCCAGTCTATTTGATCGTATTATCTATGTTTAGTGTTATGTTTTTCATCAATACGTCCAGTCTATGTGATTGTATTCTCTATGTTTAGTGTATTCATCAAGATGTTGGCCGGTCTATGTGATTGTATTATCTTTATCTATCTTGGAATGGCCCTTTTTGGATCACACACATGGCATACAGGTTAGTTGATTAGTGGTAACCACAAAAAATTATACTCAATTGACAACCTAAAACTCTTAGAAAATAACTATTTTAATTTCCTTTTTTAAAATTTATAGTATTGTATAATTGTATGATTGTAAGAAAGAAAAAAATCCGTGCAGTCATCTCTTTAGGTCTTAATCAGTTTTGGGTAACCCTACATGAATAAAAGCTTCTAAAAAGAGGGGTTGCTTGTGTAAATGATGGTTAAAGACGACTTAAGAATGAGGGAGAGAGGGAGGTCTCTCTCTTATGAATTTTAAACTCCCCCCCCCCCTCTCTTAGTTCGGTTGAAATATTATAATATTATAAACCCTACCCCTTTTCCTTGATTTCCTGGGTTTACTAGCAGGTTACGAGGAGTTCACCTTCTCTCAAATATCAATATTTAAATATTGTTAAGTAGTAAACATATTTGTGAATTGTATATGGGACTCTAATTGTAGGGTCTACAGTTTCTTTTCAATGGACCGATTAAGTTTAATCATTATTAATCCATTTCATAAGGCTTTCTAACTATAGCTTGGTATGTCCGGCACCATTAATTAGGGATTAATGATAAATCCATGTTTTCCTTACTAAAATTATGTTCCTTAAATTGTATTGATTTATTAGTCTATTGTGTATTGTGAGAAATGTCTAAACATAATATAAATATAACATTTAATATATATCATACAACATACAACATACAACATACAACATATAAAATATAACATATGACATATAACATTTAACATATAACATATAACATATAACATATAACATATAACATATAACATATAACATAACATTATAACATATAGCATAAAGCATATAACATTGAAAATTGAAAATTGAACAATGAACATTGGACATTGGACATTGGACATTGGACATTGGACATTGGACATTGGACATTGGACACTGAACACTGAACAACTATAACACTGAAAATCTGCGTTAATCATAATCTTACTTTTATAGCTACTATTTAGTTTTATTCTACAAATGCTAGATTGGCACAATGATGGTATAAAAGTCGTCTTACCATTTGACACAATTTCATTTACCAACTATTATATGAGAATTTATTTAGGAGCAAGTAATCATGGCGTACGGAGGGTTGAGAGGAGCCGTAGGATTTTCTCTTGTTTTACTCATTGATAATAATATTGTACCTTGCTCAGGTAAATAATAGATACTACTCAAAGACTTTAACTAATAAAAGACCAGAATCGGTGGCAAGAAGCGTCAACTGTCAACCCCTATTTCATTGAATGCAGGGTTGTCTGTCAATAATAATAATAATTAAAATGTAATAATCTGCAAGTTTAAACTGACTCGGATAAGTCTTAAGTAGTCGCTAATAAGATTTAAAATTGCTAAACAACGAATGGTTTTACATCTGAAGGGAATAAAAAAATGTTGCATATTTCGCGGATTTTATTTAAAATATTTTGCAAATTTTAATTGTTTAGGTATATTTGTGACAGCTACTCTGGCAATGGTCATGCAAACCTGTTTCTTCCAGGTAGATCGATTGATTGATTGAGTGAGTGATTGAGTGATTGATTAGTTAATTAATTAATTGATTAAATGAAGTGTAAATCCCTCCAGATAGTACTAATCCGTGTTTTTTCTGTTATTGTTCTAGAGTAAAATAAAACATTAAAATATTTTAAGCCACAAGAAAAACAAGTCAGCTGTTTATACGGATTAAGCACTTAATCTCTTCAAATTAAAGTTCAAAAGTTCTAACTCTTTCAGGGTTCTACCATTAAACCTTTTGTTGGACTACTGAAGATTGATCTGGCGAAGGCTGGAGATGTGACATTAAGGAAATAATTGCAATCAAAAATAATAAAAATAATTACTAAAATAATAAACTGACATCATTTAATATACAAAAAAAAATAATTACCCAAATTGCAAATTATTGATTAAAAAAATTCAAATTATTTCAGCTAAAATATGCAATAATTAGCTGAATTTTTTTTCTTCCCTAAACTCCTTTTTTCCCAATAATAAAATAATTACATAAAATAAGATCTAAAAACTGAGCCTGAGCCTGAGCCACAACCTCTAAGTTTTTAGATCCCCATATCTTTGCAACCCAATGTGGTAAACCTTATATATCTATGAATTATGTTAGCTCAAATATTCTCAAGCTTCAAAAATAGTGATTTGACACCATCAGGATTCTAAGATATTAGAATTGGAAAAATTTAGTTTGTGACAAAGACTCAATTTCTTTATTTTAAAACTTGAAGCTTATCTCGCAATTGTAGTGAGGAGATAAATGAAAAGATATTTGAGCATATAATGGCTGGGGTTGAGATTATATCAGGCAAAATGGGTCACTACGTCTTAGCGGTAAGATATTTATAAAATAAATCTATTGGCTCTATTTATATATTCATATATTTATATATGTTAGCTAGGCTGGCCAAACAGCTATACCAAATTGGCTGAATTTTGCTGAAGAAAAAAGTTTAACATTTCGGAAATTCAGCGCCGGGCACATCACACATCAGCTAAAATCATGAGCGCGGGTAAATGGCGGGATTAACTAAGCATGATAATATAATTTCAGCATTTGTTGCTCAATGCGCATTTATATTACATCAAACTGAGTAAAATAAATTGACTATAGGGCATTAGATGACAAAATTTATGAAAAAAGGCCCCCTCCAGGGTTTTTAAGTTTTTAACTCATACGTAAATACCTACTTTTTAATACATATTAAGGCTGAAAAACTTCTAGTTATACTTTTTAAAGGAGTGACCGGAGTGACGGTTGTTAAACTGAGAATGTATTATTGTAGGGAAAATGATGTATATTTACTGAGTTTGAGCGCAAAGTCGATGCTTAAAATCATCCATTCGGGTGGTAACGTTTTGAGAATCGATTTTTTAAATTATTTAATAACGACGACAAAAAATGTAAAAACTTCTTCAGTAAACTAATTAGATGTTTAGGAACATATTTCTCAATTTCTCAAAAAATCAATGTTAGAATCAATCATTTCTTTTACATCATTATACTGAATTTCTTATTCTTTTTGAATTTGTTCACAGATTTCTTCAAATTCTTCAAATGTCGCCTAGAAAATGTGAATTTTTATGGCAATAGTTCATTTTTAATTTTCTCAACCTGTTCCTAAACAACTTGTTAGTTTACTGTAGAATTTCCAATACATTTTTCGTCGTCGATATTGAATATTTTTTTTAACCGATTCTCAAAATCATCCCTCAAAAATGAACAATCTATGAGGATATTACAGATTTAATTTGCGTTCTTTCTGAACAAATATGCACCGTCAAATAGGTCTCGAGGATGATTCTTAAAAAATTTCTCCACAAAACAACATTATCAGTTCAACTACCATACATTGCCGGTCTCTCCCTTTAAGGATCACTACAGTAATTATGATTCATTCAAATAGTAAGAGCGTCTTATAATCAGATTTCTATATCTATTTTAATCATTGCCAATTTGGTATTATTAAGTGCAAAAAAGTTTTTACTTTTTTTAGTTTGCTTGAGATGAAAATCATATTTTTATCAAGAGCAAACTAGAAAAAGTAAAAATTCGCGCAACAACTTTTCGCACGTCTAATAACAATAATGATAGCAAATATAATTTTATTCAATTTTATTTTATAGCAGTGCGATAAAATAATTTTAGCACCCTGCTGTTTAGATCGATTAAGTTGCTTTATCTCCCGTAAATATGAGGTGTGATAAATTACCTTAAAATTGATTAAAAATATGTTAAACTTAAAATTTTGTTTAGGATAAACTTTATCACTTCGACCAGACCTACATGAAGAAGTGGATTTGTGTTCCAAATTATGAGAAGAGAATGAAGAAATCTTATGAGAAGAAGATTTTATCAGGTTACAAAAATGTATTTCTTAAAGGGACTGTCTGCATAATTTTACGTGACTCTTAACTTTCAAGAGTTACAAATCCGATTTGCAAATTTGACCTTTAAACCTAAATCTGAGTTTTAATGTAAAGTTTTTTCTTTCTTAAAATTGATAAGTTTTTTTACGGTTTACGACTCTTTGATAGAATGAAGTAAATTGTCAGAATATCTTTTTAAGAGAGAAAAACGACGATATTTTCCTCATTATTACAAAAGGTACAAAGGTACAAAGGTACAAAGGTACAAAGGTACAAAGGTACAAAGGTACAAAGGTACATAGGTACATTGGTACATAGGTACATAGGTACATAGGTACAAAGGTATATAGGTACAAAGGTACAAGGGTACAAAGGTACAAAGGTACAAAGGTACAAAGGTACAAAGGTACAAAGGTACAAAGGTACAAAGGTACAAAGGTACAAAGGTACAAGGGTACAAAGGTACAAGGGTTTCAAGGGTTTCAAGGGTACAAGGATACAAGGGTACAAGGATACAAGGATACAAGGATACAAGGATACAAGGATACAAGGATACAAGGGTACAAGGGTACAAGGGTACAAGGGTACAAGGGTACAAGGGTACAAGGGTACTAGGGTACAAGGGTACAAGGGTACAAGGGTACAAGGGTAAAAGGGTACAAGGGTACAAAGGCACAAGCGTACAAGCGAACAAGGTTACAAGGGTACAAGGGTACAAGGGTACAAAGGTACAAAGGTACAAAGGTGAAAAGGTACAAAGGTACAAAGGTACAAAGGATAACGTTGTGAACTTGTGACTCAAGCATTTTTAAGTGGAGGTTTACTTAAAAGGGACGGAAAAAGAAGGATAACCCCAGCATATTTGATCAGATGGTTCGATTTAAAGGGTTCCATTGTGCATCTGGCATGCCATTTTTACCATAGGAGGTCATTGATAGTGAAAAAATCAGAGAATAAAATCTGATTAAAAAACTAAAGTTAAATTCTAAATGAGCCATACATCGACAGAATTTATCAAATGTCGTCTTGACAATTTTTTAATTGGTTTTATACTATATTACGTAAATTTCAGAAATTGTAAAAATAAATAAATAGCCATGAATATGCGAGAACAGTTTTAAAGAGCTTCATATAATTATTAAATTAAAAAACTAATTATCTGCAACATTCCATTATCAGGAAGTGAAGAATACGACATTTGATGAATTCTTTCGATATATGGCTAATTTAGGGTTTAACCGTAAGATATCAACGGATAATATGATAAATTTTAAAATCAATTCATAATTATGAAATTCTAGATCATTTGATCAATCTGTATGGTCCGGCAGTGCTTGTAAAACAGAATATGGAGAATATTGATACTATTAAAGAAAACGGATTTGAAAATCTTGCATACATTCCAGAGGTATTTTTTATCATTCTGTTTACATTATTTAATTTGTCATACATAATTCTATAATCTGTATAAAGAAAACGAGTTTTTGCTCTAAGCTCTAATTGTCTGATCCCTATATCTTCGCAATTCGATGTCGTAGAACCTTGATATTTTAAACTATGAATTACGTTCGATTAAAATGTCTAAGTTTGAAATATCATTGTTTTACATCATAAATTGCAAAGATATAGTGATTCGAATATTTTAGTTGTTGGGAAAAAATCCTAAATGATCTTATAAAAGAGATTAATGACACAAAATTTTCCATAGAAAACATTTTCAAATACTTTTTTAAAATTTAATTTTTCTACTGCTTTTGCATGATTTTAAGAATAATTTGTATGATTTTTTCTGTTTTATAGTGATATCCAGAAAATTCGGAAATATGAAGACGACTTTTAGAGTCAAGTTAATCTTTTAAAAGGGAAATGAGCATGTGAAATATCAATTGTGCTACGTGTAAATAGGCCCATTTAACAAAATTAATGATTTAATAAGCGTCTGGTAAAACTATTTGCTTTGCAACAATATCAAATACCCTGAAGTATTGCTATAATGTCGTCTTCCTTTTTCATTGTGTTATTGTTATCACTGGAAAAAAGTTTTTTTAAAAAGAGGGTAAAAGTCTATCTACATCGCACACTGTACAGGGTGTCCCATTAAATATAGGAATTAAGCGAAGACTTCCAAATCGTCTTTGTTTCACGTGATAACACATATTTTGTAATATTCCATTTATCACAGTTAACATTATATAAGTATGTAAAGACTTCATTTAAAGTTGATGTTTAGAATGAGGTACTGACTGATATAAGTATGTAAAGACTTCATTTAAAGTTGATATTTAGAATGAGGTACTGACTGATATAAGTATGTAAAGACTTCACTTAAAGTTGATATTTAGAATGAGGTACTGACTGATATAAGTATGTAAAGACTTCATTTAAAGTTGATATTCAGAATGAGGTACTGACTGATTTAAGTATGTAAAGACTTCATTTGAAGTTGATATTTAGAATGAGGTACTGACTGATATAAGTATGTAAAGACTTCATTTAAAGTTGATATTTAGAATGAGGTACTGACTGATATAAGTATGTAAAGACTTCATTTAAAGTTGATATTTAGAATGAGGTACTGACTGATATAAGTATGTAAAGACTTCATTTAAAGTTGATATTTAGAATGAGGTACTGACGGATACTTGTGTGTCGAGGCGAAGCAGTAATCGTAAAATGTAAGTTTTTATAAATTGAAAGTATAATTACCGCCTTCTGAGTTTTCACCAACATTACCGACCTATGATTACCCCAACTGAGGTTAAGATACCTAACGTCCCTTGGGACCGTTATGTTAATTAACCACCCGCTTTGCAAAGTTTTTGGGAAAAGATCGCGCATTGTCATTTCAAAAGTGATAAAATTGTGTACAACTACTATTTTGGGAAAATAAAAATTTTACTTAACCACGGGTTCCTTCGACCAATTTTTTCTACAAAACATCCCTCGCTGCACTCTTGATGCTTTGTAAGCAAAGTTGGTTCCAAACCTTTTGTAAAGAAAAGTTCCCTTTTCTTCTCACTAAATTAGTTGTAAATAATTGTTTCCGCCAATTTCAACCAACATTACCAACCTATTGTTCTACAATGAAACCCTTAATAACGATATCGAAAGAATTTATCAAATGTTGTATTCTTCACTTTCTGATAATGGAATGTTGCAGATATTTAGTTTTTTAATTAAATGATTATATGGAACTTTTTAAAACTGTTCCCGCATATTTAAGGCTATCTATTTATTTTCGCAAATACTGAAATTTACGAAATATAGTATATATAAAACTCATTAAAAATTGTCAAGACGACATTTGATAAATTCTTCCCATGTATTCGTTATTAAGGGTTTCACTGTAACAGAGCCTTTTGATAGGTAAAGCAAAATAACATCCCGTTCTGCGAAGTTTTCGTGAAATATTTGGCGGATTTTCATCTCAAAAGGCGATGAAATTATGTGTACTTTACAAAAGAAGTCAAAGAAATTTTACTGTAAACCTTTAATATTTTCAGCACCCCATCGTTAATACATTTTTCTTTCGATATTTCATAACAAAAAGATACCCACGTTGATACAAGTTTTTTTCCAGAAAATACTGGTCTTAACAAATTACTGAAGTTGTTAATGACATTTTTTATCTTGATCATTTAATAAATAAAGTAAACTTGTCTCTGTTTATCATATGCCGTATATTGACAGGTTTAACCAGTTGTGGATTTATTTGGTTTGGATAATATATTTATCTGATTTGGTGAAATCCAGTTAAAACTAGATAATCAAGCACATATTACCAACTTACCAAGGACATAGAGACAAGTCACTTATTTAGTATGCAAAATCCATGTGTAGGAGTCTGTTAAGGAATAAAAGTATAAACAGCGATAATCAGTTATTACCAGAATGTTTGTCGTCCTCTTTGTATCTTTCAATTATGATTTGTTTCAAAGGTTTTTTTGTATATGTAACTAAATTTTAAGTTACAACTGATGTTTCTGCATTAAGTTTAGGATATAATTTCAGGGATGAATTCTTATTCTTCTTTTTGTAACTTTTCAAACAAATAAAGATTTCGTTTTCGGAGACACTGTAAAACCTTTTCAAATTATGGCTTTTATTTGTAATAGTGATATCATTTTTCCAAGAACCCCGTGTTTGTTCGTACATGTTTTCTGTTTAAATATATGTTTTTTTTTCTCATTTCCTTTCAGAGATTTCCTCTCATTTCCTTTCAGAGATTTCCTCTCATTTCCTTTCAGAGATTTCCTCTCATTTCCTTTCAGAGATTTCCCTCTCAGAGATTTTCTTTCTTAGATTTTCAATCGTAGATTTCCTTCCATGGATTTCCTTTCATAGATTTCTTTTCTTAGATTTCATTTCAGAGATTTCCTTTCATTGATTTCATTTCATAGATTTCCTTTCATAGATTTCATTTCATAGATTTCCTTTCATATAATTTTTTCTTATATTTCCTTTCAGGAATTCCCTGTTAAATATTTATTTGCTTTCATCGATTTCCTGTCTTAGATTTTCTTTCAATAGATTTTCTTTCATTACAGATTTCTTTCCGTAGATTTCCTTTCTTAGATTTCTTATAGTTTTGGCATCATTTTCGTGAACAAACGATATTGAGAAAAAGTTTGTTCAGAAAAAAAACAATGGATAAATCAGATGGGTCCTTCAGAGAAATGAAATAGCGATCGTTTTTAAAAAATACCAGAAAAACGATTTAAAATTCAAAGGAACTTGGAAAAAATAAAGTTTTTTTACTGAACGCACCTTTTTTTCAAACAAACTTTTATATAACAATATAAACGATTATTTATTCAATCAAACTTGTGAAAAACTATCGTTGTTTACTGAAATAACGATTTCATTGGACTAACGATTTGACTAAACGATTATTCAGTGAGGAAACGAACGATATAGTTGGAAAATGAACGAATAATTTGAGAACTTGGGGAATACATTTTTTTTAACGATTAAAAAACCAACGAAATTGGTCGAAATTGGTCGTTCATAAACGAGATTGAAAAAATGGAGATAAGAACGAATGCGCCCATCTGTAGGGCGGGGAAGAGAAAATTTAGCTCTCTGGTTAAATTTCATTCATTTTATTAAAATTTTGTGGATCTTTATTTTTTATGTTATTCTTAAATTGTGTAAAATGGTCTACGCAATCTACAATCTACATATGTTTAGGCTATCGCCCAACGAGAGCAAAGCGCTCGGATTATAATGGAAACCCTTATGGACGGCGGAAACGGAAACAAAACTTTTGATTTCCACAATTTCCGGCGGCCAACATTGGACGAGAATATGTCCTCTGAAGATGTGTCCTATCTACCCAAGGGAAGACGAGCTTCAACCGCATCTGTTTTGAACTTTTCAGGAAATTTTACATTGTTTAAAAACATATGTTTTGAGAGTCCTCCCTCCCCCCCCCTTCCCGTGCTTACTAACAATCTAATTGGAATACATCAACATTTTTTTAATGATTATGAAAATTTCAATTCGTTCCACTAAAGGTGGAAAGTGATTTCTAAAATTGATTTTTAAGCTTGATTAATGTGCATTGGAACTCCATGCTCTCGGTTCTTGGGACACAAATATTTTAATAATTAAAAAATACAATATTTTTGCTTTTTATTGGAGATTCCAAATTAGTTTCCAAGATTCTTGAAATTGGCTTTAAAAATGTTTTTATTCTCCCTTATTTGGAGATTCAAATTGATTTGTCCAATTCTTGAAGTGTTGTTGAAAATGTATTTTTCTGCTTTATTTGGAGATTCAAATTGGTTTGACCGATTCTTAAAAGTTGGGTAAAAAATGTATTTTTCTGCTTTATTTGGAGATTCAAATTGATTTATCCAATTCTTGAAGTTTGGTTGAAAAAGGTTTGTGATTGCTTTATTTGCAGATTCAAATCGGTTTGTCCAATTCTTGAAGTTTGGTTGAAAAAGGTTTGTGATTGCTTTATTTGGAGATTCAAATCGGTTTGTCCAATTCTTGAAGTTTGGTTGAAAAAGGTTTGTGTTTGCTTTATTTGCAGATTCAAATCGGTTTGTCCAATTCTTAAAGTTTGGTTGAAATAGGTTTGTTTGCTTTATTTGGAGATTTAAATTGATTTGTCCAATTCTTGAAGTTTGGTTGAAAAAGGTTTGTTTTCTTTATTTGGAGATTCAAATTGATTTGTCCAGTTCTAGAAGTTTGGTTGAAAAATGTTTGTTTGCTTTATTTGGAGATTCAAATTGGTTTGACCGATTCTTAAAAGTTGGGTAAAAAATGTATTTTTCTGCTTTATTTGGAGATTCAAATTGATTTATCCAAGTCTAGAAGTTTGGTTGAAAATAGTTTGTTTGCTTTATTTGGAGATTTAAATTGATTTGTTTAAGTCTAGAAGTTTGACTGAAAATTGTTTGTTTGCTTTATTTGGAGATTTAAATTGATTTGTTTAAGTCTAGAAGTTTGATTGAAAATTGTTTGTTTGCTTTATTTGGAGATTTAAATTGATTTGTCCAATTCCTAAAAGTTTGTTAAAAAATGTATTTTTCTGCCTAGACCTGCCAAACAGATTAAACGGCTCATGTCGTGTTAAACCTATTGCGAGGCATGTGGAGGGTAAGTTACATTTAAAGTTATATTTTGACAGTCAGGGGCGTTCAATAGTATTGGTGTAAGGGGGCACATTGTGCCCCCCCCTTAAATAACCTTTTTTGAAAAAAATATTGAACCTTTAACTATGTAAACTAGTCGATTGTGTACACAATTACATATAATAAGTGTTAATAAAATTATTAATTTTCTTAAGTGGACTCATCTGACACTTCCTTTTAACACAGTGGTGTAGGCTTCAATGGGTGAAAAATATAGATGGAAACGATACTTTAAAAATATCTTTATTTTCATTTTCATAGAACCGATAAAAATTGCATAATTATAAATAATGCTATCAAAGATATATTTACACTGAAGGCAGTATTCATTAAAGCCATAGATAGCTTATGTACGCAAAATCACCAAGAATTGTACAGTCCGAGAACTCATACTTCTAGGGGTCAAAGTGTACTGAAGAAGGATGTGAGAAGGACTAAACTAACTTAAATTTCTCTCTACATCTACAGAACTCATGTACACCACAAGTACTCAATGACATATGAACAGCCATAGTTCACAACCGACCTAGTTAATCTATATAATAGGAATATCTTTAAAACATCTCTGTACATTCATATCTTAATCAAGATGAAAAATGTCCTCATATGCGCTATCTATCTTTATCTATGATTAAAGCTTTTTAATGAAACTTTTTTAGTTATGGTCAAAAGTTAGATTTTAAAGTATTTTTTATATGACTGCCTTTTTGCATTTTTATACTTTATATTATGTGTTTGTTTTATCGTAATGTTTTACTTCTGTGTGAAAATTCATTAATTCAAAATGACTGAGTAATTCTTTGAATCAAAACAAATCTTAAAGGCAAGAATGACATGACATGGAATGATTCCCAAAGACAAGCTTCAATTTGAAATTAGCAAAGTCAGCTTGAAACTTTATAATGGAAGTAGGACAACCCTCGCAGTCTGATTTGATTTGTGTACAAATTAAATCTATAGTAATAATATAAAAAATAAAATCTACATTTGATTATTGATAATTACAATTATAGGAATGGGCTGGGATGAGCGGAACGCTGTTGAGACTGTTCTAACTGAGCACTACGATCTTAGAAGAAGGAAATCTTTGGCGCCTGGCGCCACCGACACATTTGTCAGGAATCTTAATGGTAAGATTCCCCTCCTTTTAGTGGAGAATAAGACTCAATGTTAAATCTTGTTCAGGTTCTCATGAAACCCCAGAATGCGCCAATTCCTACCATGAAATTTCGCCAAATAGAGTATGAAACCGGTGGCCAAATTTAAAGCATTTGAGCGGCGGTTTAAATTTAAGCCGCGGCTTAAATATGGTTGGTTCCACTTAAGATTGTATCAAATGTTTAAAGATTTAAGCCGGCGCTAAATTTAAACGGGGTTTTGGCGGATTTAAACCGCGGCTCAAATTCTTAAATTCCATCTAGGTTTTTTTTAATCAACTCTGTGGAAAATAAGAGCTTGAACCCGAAAGCTAATGTCGTAAATAAGGCCCAACGACAGCTTAGACCTGAGCCGTATTTACCCAAATTTTGTTAATAGCGGGCTCTGTAAAATTAGAATCACGTAAAGTTGTACTTACTAACTTTTATTATTTTTATTTTAGATAACGTTGAGGGAGGTGAAGATACCAAGCTATAATCAATCTTGATCATCAAAATTAAAGCTTAGATAATAATGATACCTACATCAAAAACAATAACTTCAATAATAATGATAACTACGTCTGATAACTTCCGTGATAATAATACCGAAAAAAATTAAATTGATTTTTTCTTTTAGCAGCAGCTTGCAAATTTTCCCGCTTTTGACTTTTTTCTAAAATTTAAGGACATTGGTTTTATGAGTTAAACAGTCTTTTAAAACAAATATATAGTTAAAACTATAGTTACAGATAAGTCTCTAGTGTGATCTAGATCGCTAGAGGGGGGTATAGAAAGCTAAATTTACAAAATTAAAACTGGTTCTCGGTTCTATCTTTGTAATCTATTTTTGACAAAGGCTAATTTTTGCGGTTTTGCTCCGACATTTTGTATAAAAGTTTTACATTTTTTAAAACACTGGCAACTTCACAATGCACAATAGTTGATACTCAATTAACTCAAATCTTATACTTAACATTCCATTTTTTTTGTCCCAGAGTATTTCCAGTTTGATCCGGGCTCAATTCCAGATGGATCCGTAATTATCCAGTTTGATCCGTTATTATTCAGTTTGATCCGGGATCATTTCCAGTTTGATCCAGTATCTTTTCCAGTTTGATGCGGAATTTTTTCGAGTTTGATCTGGAATCATTTCCAGTTTGATCCGGGATCATTTCGAGTTTGATCCGGAATCATTTTTCATTTAATACAGAAACATATCCAGTTAAATCCGGGATTATTTCGAATTTGATCCGGGATCATTTCGAGATTGATCCGGGTTCATTTCCAGTGTAATTCGTAATTGCTTCTAGTGTGATCCGGGATTATATTTCCTGTTTGATCCGGGTTCATTTCCAGTGTAATTCGTAATTGTTTCTAGTGTGATCCGGGATTATATTTCCAGTTTGATCCGGGGTTAACTCTAGTTTGATCCGGGGTCCGGCTGATCCGGACTTTCGTTGCACAAATTTGAGCGAGGTTAAAAACATTATGTATATTGTAATTTAAAACTCGCGTTTTACATATATCTGTAATTGAGCTTTTTGTATATAAAATGAACTTGAATTTGTATTTTATTTCAAACTTTGTTATATGAAAACGAAAGTGGATGTTAAAAAAGATGGAATGCCTAATTTTTTTTCGACTTTTGTTTGGAATATCTAAAATTAAACACTTTTATTTTTGTATTATTTCTTAAAAATATATCATCACAAATATATATTATAATTTTATCAATCTGACGACCTTCATCATGCTGAAAACAAAAGATGAACATGTGTGGAAGGATTAAAATTTGTAACCCTTATTGTGACAATTTTTATGTAAACTATGTAAACTCAATTATTTATGAAATACAATTTTTGTGATCGTTAAAAATCATTTCTATTTAAATATTGTAAATAGATCAACAAGAGAATCATGAACGTCATGTTTCATTTTTTTTTAATTTCTTCTCTGAAGATTTTGTTTGAAAACTGATCTGTTTCTATATATGTTCCCTAAAAAGATTCAAAGATTTAGTGATTAAAAATATTGAAAATGCCAAATTGTTCTGTCAGACGGATATATATATGTCTGTTTGTTTGGAGTCCATTCCAAAAAGAGACCTAAATCTTAGATTTAAAATAAAACAATTAAATACAGGATCAAAATGGGAAATTGCTTCAATTTTTAACATAGGTAGCGTTTTGTATTTTAAATATGTTAAATAACTGAGGTTTAGGCATACTTCACTTTAGATGTTTTGGCTTTCGCCAAGAACATCGTATCTGTTCCTAGTGGGTGTACCCAACAAACTAAAACCCGTGAAGAAAACAAGATTATTTGGTGTATCTCACACGAGTGACCCGTGAGTATCCCGCGATGATTCACGTGTTAACGAGGTGAATGTGGATGATTTGATCATCATGGTCTAGGACCGAGTTTTTGCACGGCGAAAACTTGAGTTAATTTCACGGGATTTTTACATGAATAAATTATTTTTCTCCCATCTACTTAAATTACATTATTTAAAAACCCAGGGGGAGGGGGGGATACATAATTGATTTCTGATATATAAATATATTATAAAATATATTGTGTGAAAGAAAATAATTATTACAAAATGTCTAGAAACTAAACATTTTAGTTTATATCTTTTACATTAAACAACTTGAACATGTAAACTCTAATTATTCACAACGTGATATTTCAAGTCTACATAATGTCCAACTATGTTGATGTGTTCGTAATTACATGAATGTCCCTTCCTTGAAGATAACTATTCCAAAAAGGGGTTGATGAGAAATACAATACAAAATTCAAAGTGAAACTTTTCTATACTTTGCTCATGTTATTAAAATCAGAAAAATTTATGTCAGTTGAAATCTTTCATTTTCTACAGGGTGTCCCACATCAAATTAGACCGCGTCAATGGGTCTAAATTACGATTTGGAGGACAGATCAGAAAATTTAAGAAAAATGAATCATTTTGAAAAATTTTATACGGCTAATAGAATTTTTTGCAGAAAATGCTAGTTTTTTGAGTATTATGTGCTTATTTTGGCGTTACAGATTGGAGATAATATGATATGGGACACTCTGTACAATAAATAAACTTTTAGTTTCTTAAAGATGAGCAGAGACACCAAGTGGTGTAATTTTGCAACTCTATTAAAAATGAAACATGAAGTTTTTCCTGTGATATGTCATATATTTTACACGTCATATTTACAAGAATTAAAATCTAGATATTCTGGCATTCCATTACTCATGATAAACACGTTGGGAATATGCAAGATCTTGCACTGGTATATTTGCTACGAGCACAACTGAGAAGAAAAAAAAACAAGAATTGAACTACAATTATCTCATATATCTTACACATGATAATTACGAGAATTAAAATCTAGATATTATTGCATTGCATTACTCGTGATTAACACGATAGGAATATGCAAGATCTTGTACTGGTTTTGTTATGCATCAACATGTGAAATAACGATGGCAAGTTTTTGGTTTTTGGCAAGTTGAAAACCATTTTCCACTTTCCAGGGAGACGACATTGCTGTCCGAAATGTTTTTTTTATAATATAGTATCGACAAATGTACAGACGACGTCTTCGGTGTTTGTTTAATCTCAATTAAAATGTACTTTTTAATACGAATTGTTAATGTATCCTTATAAACTATGTTGGGATTTTTGGAAAAAAAAGGTTTTTGGTGGTTGTAAAAGCCAAATATTGTTTATAGGAGACCAAAATGCGGGGCGTGGAGACAAGAATGGCAGAGGCTCGGAGACATAGCAAGAGGCACGGAGGTGGTTTTGCGGGGCCTGGAGGCATTCTGCAAATCTGGAGGCTCGGAGGTCATTTTTGTGGGGCCGGCTATTGGCGCCAATGAACCCCTTCCTTCCTGGGCTGTTCTTTATTTTAAAACTGTTCGTTAACAAAAGCCTTAAGCTGGATCATCATTCTAATTGTTCGTTCTCTTAAATTTATTTCTTTTACAAAATTAATACGACAATTTTTTTAATTAGCAATTGCAATTGTAAGCATCAGATTTTTGCTGTTAAAATAGTTGAGCGTTAATTTTCTTGTTAACTACTTCCAGCTCGACTATAAGGAGATACTAGTAGTAGTCACTTTTCAGTGATTCATTCAGTGTCCACTATAGTTCATTATATTTAATAATAATCATTGAAAACTTTGAAGTCTTGCTTCAGCAGAACACGAATAAGGTAAAATATAGTTTAACTCAAATATAAAGAGACATGGGAAAAATTTTAAAAATTATTTTTTTCAATGGTTTTGCGGTTGCCACCAGAGGTGGCTTATGGAGGGGAAAGGGCCAGGGGGCTGGGGGATGTCCCTCTCCCTGGAAAACTGGGAGTAATTGTACTGAATGTATTGCAAGAGGAGATTACCAATTGAGGAGCGCGCTTGCCGCAAAACACATTTGGGTGGCGGTGATTACTCGTTGAGGAATTCTGGACTCCCCCCTCTCCAAAGTGACGTCTTTTCGACTTCGAAAATTATGTCGTGAGGGCGTAAAAAGCTGTGCGTTAAACGTCCTCAACACTTAAAATACAACGTCGCCGGACGTTCCATTGGTAATTATGGACATCCTCAGGTTGCCAGAGCCCAAAACTTAAGACAGGGTATCGTTATGAAAACCAGTTTTGGAACCCGGGTTTCACAAATGGGTTTACCCAGTTTTGTAGATATCGATATTTTTGTTTTGAAATATTATTTTATTTAATCCTTTATATCTTACCATTTTTATCAAATCTCTTAAATCAAAATCTACACAAATAATAAGACCCCAAAAAGGAAACTCGGAAGTTTCGTTCAACGACACTCTTTTAAATTTCAGGCTCAGGGATGTGTAGTATAGTGGATTTTGCGAAGGTGAGAGGTGGAGTATAGCGGATTGGCGTAGGTCGAAAACTACACCAACCCAACGCAACTGTTTACTAAACGTTTAAGTCTGATTTCTCTCAGACAGCAAAAAATGGTTTTGAAAATACAGTTTGGATAGAAAGAACATGTCTAAGAGCTGTTACATAAATCTAAAGCGTGGGTTCTCATAAAGTATGAATTCTAAAGCTCCACGCTTAACCTTCAAACAAAATACTTAGCCCTACCTTTCAGCAGACAAAGAACCCTACATCCACGTAAAAAAACCCAGATATTTCCGGATCAAACAAACATCAAATACAAAAACATAAACTTTAATATATTTTTAACAAAAAACTAAAAGATGTAAAAAACTGCACCAATTCTATTTCGTTTATTAAAATAACAAATTGTGATTATATGATTAATTAATTAAATTATGTATTTTTATGAAACCCCTGCACTGGCTCCCTGGCTATACAAAGAACGCAGACCTTGAACAAAACAGGCAACCTCAATCCTGCAAGACAAACCAACAAGCAGTTCAAGTCAGGATATGAGCTAGAGAGGTTCCTCCAAGTCTCGATAAAACAACCTGTTTGACTCCGTTAGAAATACATTATTCTAAACGTTCTTTATTGGCTCCTTTATTGGTTCAGAGCAGACAATCGTTTTCAATTTCATAATCCAGTAACTCAAAATGCGAAGGTTATTTTCTTAAGTCTAATAAGAAAATTGTTTCATAATGTTCTGTAATTTAGCTAAATGCTGTTTTAAAAAGATGTAAATAATAAATCGGATTTCTGTCTAAAGTAGGCAAGCTCTAAACCGTATAGAGAAGGACACAAGAGGCACCTATCGGTCAAATGTTGAACTGAACTATAGTTTATTGTATTTAAGTCCTATGCATGCGTAAAGTTAACCTTGTCCTCTCTGCCTGGAGCTGGACCAATCACAATTCATAGGACTCACAAACAGGCTTTACTTCAAGGTTATATTAAGGTTAGATCCTTTAGATACTCTATAATACAGCCTTGCTTCTTTAAACAGAAACATTATGCAGAATCTTATGCAGTTATACAGAGAGAACCAGAAACATTATACACAATCTTATACAGTTATACAGAGAGAACCAGAAACATTATACACAATCTTATACAGTTATACAGTGAGAATCAGAAAACAATTGAATAGGAAGGCTCGACATTATACAATAGTTAAGTGTAATAATAATACTAATAACGTTTATTGCTAAATATCGGTTAAATTTACAAATTGTCAGAAAATAAAAAAAAAATCACATGTCAATATTCCAGAAAGCTGTGACTTTCATTCACAATTTGACCCATTAGACATGATTTTTTAGCCTTTTTTCCAAAACACTTTTTTGTCGGCATATACGTTTTGAATAAAAAGTATGGTATAAACAAATCCGTAAGTTAAAATATTGTTGAATTAAGGACCAAAACACGTTTGATTTCAAATAGAAGAAACCGAATGCTGCTCTGGTTAGTCCGGGGTGACATGTATATATATATTTACAATGTTTTTATCAGCCGCGCAACTAGACATTTTGTTAGGGGAGGTAAGAGTAAATTTTTCTTGCCCCCCGGCCCCTAAACATTTTTACGGGGGTTAAGAAAAATGTGTATTATAATCAAACAATAAAAAAAACTAACCGTACCAACCGGATATTCAGTAAGTCAACACTGATATGAAATAAATCACAATATTAATTAATTTACAATTTACATTAATATAAATTCAGTATTCATCCATAAATCAAATATGTACATTGTAATCATTAAAAAATCATGATTTTAAATTATAATATTTTTTTTAATATGACACATCACACAATATTTGCGATAAACATGTTTTTAGATTGGTTTTTAATTTTTTAATTGAATTTTATATCAGAAAACTTAGTTTCCAGGTAAAGCCTTGTTTCCTAGCTAATTATAAAAGATGGTCCTTAAATTGGGACCAAGGAGGACATGAATACAATAATACAAAGCGATCAATTCTTGTTTGTTTTCAAAATACAATACCCTTCCCTATATAAAGTTTAGGCGTATGTGCACTTTGCGCGCATTATTTTATAATTTAGTTTTTTTTCATTTAAATTGTTTAATTCAGTTTTCTACATACACTAAAGAAAAGGAAACAATGTTTTGTTTAACCGTTTTATTTTTTTCTTGTATTAATTTTAAGATTTTTTAACTAAAATGCGGAAATCAGAAACAATTAAAAAAATAAGGAAATCTTTGAAATTACTTTATTATTGATTACCTTTAGATAAACATTTACAAGCAGTTGGTAGTAAGTATGCAAGCAGTTGGTAGTAAGTATGCAAGCAGTTGGTAGTAAGTATGCAAGCAGTTGGTAGTAAGTATGCAAGCAGTTGGTAGTAAGTATGCAAGCAGTTGGTAGTAAGTATGCAAGCAGTTGGTAGTAAGTATGCAAGCAGTTGGTAGTAAGTATGCAAGCAGTTGGTAGTAAGTATGCAAGCAGTTGGTAGTAAGTATGCAAGCAGTTGGTAGTAAGTATGCAAGCAGTTGGTAGTAAGTATGCAAGCAGTTGGTAGTAAGTATGCAAGCAGTTGGTAGTAAGTATGCAAGCAGTTGGTAGTAAGTATGCAAGGTTTATTGATCGATTAATTAGTTAATGTTTAGCACTATGTTTAGCACTGAAACTGTTTCTCCATATAAAGGAATAGTTATGTTGTTAATTGACTAACTATATCCATATATATAGACATATATATAGTTAATTGACTAGTTTAGCACTAACTGTATCCATATACAGACATAGTTATATAGTTAATAGACTAGTTTAGCACTAACTGTATCCAAGTATATATCCTGGATATCCTTGTTTATATATATATATGTATATATATATATACTAGGTATAGTTTAGAACTAACTGTATCCATGTATATAAACTAGATAGCTCTGTGACTACATGAGGTTGATTAGTATCCCTGCACTGAACATTAGAATAGCTGTATATTCCTTCAAGTCTAAAATCTCCGTCACTAGATGTCAGACTAGGGGACCCTCTTTCTCCGACCTAAATATAATAATTAAAATATCATGCTAAGATCTATAGCTATCTATTGTCAGACTAGGGGACCCTCTTTCTCCAACCTAAATATAATAATTAAAATACCATGCTAAGATCTATAGCTATCTATTGTCAGACTAGGGGACCCTCTTTCTCCAACCTAAATATAATAATTAAAATACCATGCTAAGATCTATAGCTATCTATTGTCAAAGGATATGTTTTTAATACGATTACTATATAACAGTCTCTAGTTCTTGTTTTTCTTAAATACGGTCTGGTGTTCATGTGCTTTTAAATTTACCGGAAATATTAAGAACTAGCCTTAGAGGCCGCTTCGCGGCCATCTTCTAAATTAATTGTGAACGTGTTCTCTTTGTGTACATCGTAAAACAAAACAAAAATAATTCGCGGATTTTCACAAAAAATTNTTACACAGATTATTCAGATTACACAGATTATATAAATTACACATATTATACAGATTACACAGATTACACAGATTACACAGATTATATAAATTACACAGATTACACCGATTATATAAATTACACAGATTACACAGATAACACAGATTATATGAATTACACAGATTAAACAGATTACACAGATTATACAGATTAGATAAATTACACAGATTACACCGATTACACAGATTACACGGATTATATAAATTACACAGACTAAAAAGATTACACAGATTACACAAATTACTCAAATTACACAGATTATATAGATTAAACAGATTATATAAATCTTACAGATTATACAGATTCCACACACTACACAGATTATACAAATGACACAGATTACGCAAATTACACAGACTACGCAGATTACACAGATTATATAAATTTCACAGATTACACAGATTGCACAGATTAAACAGATTACACAGATTTCACAAATTATATAAATTACACAGAGTACGTAGATTACAAATATTACACAGATTACACAGATTGTATAAATTACACAGATTACACAAATTATGCAGATAACACAGATTATATAAATTACACAGAATACACAGATTATAAAGATTACACAGATTACGCAAATTACACAGATTATAATAAATCACACAGAGTACACAGATTACAAATCTTACACAGATTACACAGATTACACAGATTATACAAATTACACAGATTACGCAAATTACACACATTATATAACTCATACAGATTATACAGATTACACAGTTTAAGCAGATTACACAGATTTCACAAATTATATAAATTACACAGAGTACACAGATTACAAAAAATGCACAGATTACACAGATTGTATAAATTAAACAGATTACACAGATCACACAGATTACACAGATTAAACAGATTACACAAATTACAAAGATTACACCATACAACAGTTCCCTTAAAACCTTTGTGTGTTTGTCGTGTACAGAGATATACACACAAAAGGTTTAAAGGTATCGTTGTAAATCGTGCATAGCCCTCTTTGCATGGAGGGTCACTTGAAATTACACTTACAGTCCCTTTAAGGGCATCCAATATAAGAAGTTTCCAGCCACGAACAAACAAATTTGTGAAAGAGCAATCTATTAACTATACCTAGGTAGTATAGGAAAGGTAGCATAGTGTGGAACTACCGCAGATCCGAACTGTGTATTTCCCCATGATACCAGGGTAGTCGAAGATAAAGAAGAAGAAGAAGAAGAAGAAGAAGAAGGAGAAGACGATAGTTCCCAGGGACGAGTAGGAGATGCAAGGCAAATTTTCGAAACACTTTCTAAATGATATTTCCTGAATGTATATATCTATAAATATGAATTGAAAACTGTGAGTAACTATGTTACCTATTATAGCTGTATAGAACTCATGACTTAATGTTTAGTTAAAAAAGTACCATTCATTGAATTCAGTTACGAATTCGACAAGAAAAAGAATCAAACGTAAAAATACAAAAAAATGTCAGAATACAGTGCTGGTATCAATATCAACCAGAGTAGGTTGTTTTAATGGATTGGCCCAATAATTTAAGCGAAATATCTTATTTGAATCTATACCTGTGAACAGAAGGGGTTTACCCAGAATTAGAATAGAAATATCATTGATAAACTATACCTGTAAATAGAAGGGGTTTATCCAGAATTAGAATAGAAATATCATTGATAAACTATACCTGTAAATAGAAGGGGTTTATCCAGAATTAGAATAGAAATATCATTGATAAACTATACCTGTGAATAAGAGGGGTTTATCCAGAATTAGAATAGAAATATCATTGATAAAACTATACCCGTGAATAGGAGAGGTTTATCCAGAATTAGAATAGAAATATCATTGATAAACCCAGAACAGGTAGTTTGGAACCCAGGATGGGGAACAATACTAACAAGAAACAAAATGTAGTTTATAATTTAGAAATTAGGAAATTCCAGGTAACTGTATTTCGATATCACTGTTCATTAAAACCCACTTAGCCATCTATCCGTTATAGACTTACGGCGAAAAATAATCGCTTTTGATCGCTACTAATCTTACTTCTATCTGTTGCGTCTATAAGGAGAAAGTTGTTAAAAACAACTTATACTGAAGAACGTAGCGTTCATATAAATTCAGAAAGTTGCACTTGCGATATACAAAAATAAATCTATTTTCAAACAATCATTTAGATATTACAACCTATTATGGTCATAGATTATTTATTGACGCATTTATATATAGTTATTATTTCATATTATTTTTTATTTGTTTTGTATACAATGCACTGAAAACACCCAAATAGTTGGCCGCCAGGTGTTTCTGCTCTCGATGCTTTGAATGCTTACATGTGGCGGAAAAAACGTCGTTTTAAGTGCAATTGTAAATCAAACAAATAACAAATATTATGAAATATTAACTATATACAAATGCCTCGAAAAATAATTCTTGAATAATTTGTATAAAATTAAATTGATTTTTTTACGATCCGAGTGGTGTATTGCAACTTAATCTGCATTTGTATGGACGCTACGTTCTTCAGTATAGTCATTTTTAACAGTTATCTCCTTATAGCCGCAACAGATACAAGTAATATTATTGGCAATCAAAAGCGATTATTATTCGCCATAAGCCTATAACTGATAGATGGCTATGTGGGTTTTAATGAACAGTGATATCAACATATTTTAAAGCCTTATGTTGTCTTGCATTCGTGAATTATTAAACCTAAAAAGTCTATTTTCTTTATGTTGTTTTGATATATAAAACGAATCCTGTTCAAATAAAGTAGAATTGTAAAAATTTCTACAAATTAGATGCTCTTGCCTTTTAATTTGCACTCTTTGCTCTGAGTTCTCTTTTACTTTGATATTATACTCTCCAGCGACAAAACCAAGTCTAAAAAAATTAAGTTTTTGTTTATTAGCATCGTAAGAAACATATCATTGGCAGATTATAGTGATACCATGAAACTGTTGAAAATCAATCTTATGTTTATGTTGGTGTAAAGCAAATCTTTTAACACTAGCTTTCAAATCAACTTATTTTATGAAATGGGTCTGAGTATACTGCAAAATTGCTTTGTACCCCAGAGGTTTTGAGATATTGAAAGATTTTTGAAATGTCGTCTTGACATTTTTTAAATGGGTCTATTATACGTAAATCTCAGAACTTGTAAAAATAAATAAATAGCCATGAATATGCAGGAAAGATTTTAAAGAGTTCCATATAATCATTCAATTAAAAAACTAAATATCTGCAGCATTCCATTATCAGAAAGTTAAGAATACGACATTTTATAATTTCTTCCGATGTCTCTTTATATATTCGACAGTTTTTGAGTTTCATTGTATTATATAATTCTAAATAGGTGAAAATAACACAGTACAGTACATATAGCAGAAGTGAACATATGAACTCTACTTATATCTGTACATGTAGGAGAAGTGTTGATATAGTACAGTACATGAAGCAGAAGGGACTACATGACCTCTATATCTATACATGTACATGTAGGAGAAGTACAGTACATGAAGCAAAGGGGTCTACATGAACTCTAATTGTACCTGTACATGTAAGAGATGTGTTGAGGTAGTACAGTAGATGTAGCTGAGGCTAGTACATGAACTCTAATTATACCTGTACATATAGGAGAAGTTTTGAGGCGGTACAGTAAATGAACTCAATGTAGGAGAAGTGTTGAGATAGTATATTATACGTACTTCAGGTGACTATATGAACTCTATATATACCTGTACATGTAGGAGAAGTTTTGAGGTAGTACAGTACATACAGTAGTGTTGAGTACATGAACTATCTATATACCTGTACATGTAAGAGAAGTGTTAAAGTATTTCAGTGCATGAAGTAGAGGGGAGTACATGAACTCTTTATATATACCTGTACATTAAAGAGAAGTGTTGAGGAAGTACAGTACATGAATCAAAGGTGGGTACATGAAGTCTGTGTCTATCTGTACTTGTAAGAGAAGTGATGAGGTAGAACAGTTCATGAAGCAGAAGTGAGTACATGAACTCTACATATACCTGTACATGTAGGAGAAGTGTTGAGGTAGTACAGTACATGAAGCAGATGTTAGTACATGATGGGAAGACAGGATTGATCCTAATAAATAAATTTATTAAACTTTATTAACAATAAAGGAGAGTTAAAAAGGCGTAAACAAATTAAAAGAGAAGCCCAATGAAGTTATGCGCATGCTGCGTTGAATATCAAGACAGAGAGAGAGTATACGCTAACTCAGGATTATTGTAAACAAAAAACCTTTAAATCTTGAAAGGACGACATCTAGTGTTCTATCTGTTGTTGTTAATTAATATATCTCCTTAAAAATTTACAAAATATACAAACTTTAAAAATGTACAAAATGTACAAAATGCAAAAAATGTACAAAAATTTACAAAATATACAAGATGTAAAAAATGTACAAAATGTACACAATGTATACAATTTACAAAATATGCAAATGTACAAAATGTAAACATGTAAAAATTGTATCAAAAGCAAAATATAAAAAAAATATACAAAATGTACAAAATGTAAACAATGTACGGACCTGGGCACAAGAACTCTCCGTCCCACTGTACTGCACCAAGAAAAGGAAACTGGTTTCTCTCCGCAACTTGACCAAAAAGTATCTTCGACCCATTTCTGAGAAAAAATCACATATTAGTTCACATTACAAATCACCAACAGAGTTGGCTTAAGGGGGGTGGGAGAACGCGCCCCCCCCCTCCATGGAAAAATTGTAACCGCAAAAAAAGTGCACTAAAAAAGTGTTCGGAAATAATTTTTGCACCAAAAAAGTCCTTTAAATAAAAAGTCTCTGGAAATGAAGTCCTACCATTTTGAGACCCTAGGCCTTTTTTAGATCCAGAATTATGTTATAAAAGTCCCCAGAAAAAAGTCCTCTTAAAGTGGAAATTCATGGGAACAAAGGATGTTTACAACCATGGCTCCTTTAACTCGATTAACGAAAATGTATTTAAATATATTTTTTTAGTTTGGTAAAAATCAGTTACTGGTTTCTTTCTCAAATTATGGTAGGGGAACAACATTTCCCACTCCTGACCCCGGCTTTCTCAGGATTATATAGTAAAAACGAAATATAAAATCTACAAAAATTTAATGTGGAAGATAGTATTTATTTCAATTATTAAAGGGAGTGACCGGTAATATATGGTGGCTGAACTGAGTATGCAGTATTGTAGAAAAAACATTAGGATTCATTTAAGACGTATAAATCGTTTCCACGATGTTTAATTACTGAGTTTGAGCGCAAAGTCGACGTTCAAAATCATAAATTTGGGTGGGTACGTTTTCACAATCTATTTTTTAAAATTATTAAATAACTACGACCAAAAATATAGTAAAAAAACTAATTAGATGTTTAGGAACATATTTCTTCAAAGAAGTTTGTCAATAAATCAATGTTAGAACCAATTATTTCGTTTTCAGCATTATATTGAATTTCTTATTTTCTATGAATTTGTTCGCAGATTTCTACAAACTCTTCAAATGTCGCCTTTTCAATAAAAATTCCAGAAAATCTGCAGAAATTTTTTGTGAATAATGAGAGATTATAGAAACTAATCGAATACGATTACTTATTTTCGATGATAAGAGTTAATTTTTATTTTCTCAACCTTTTCCTTTTCCTAAACAACTAATTTGTTTTCTGTAGAATTTTGTTTACATTTTTTGTCCTCGTTATTTGATAATTTAAAAAAACGATTCTGAAATGTACTCATTCAAATTTATGATTTTGAACTCGTAGAAACGTCTAATATGTCTCAAATAAATACTAAAAAATTTGTCCACTATACTACATATTCAGTTCAACCACCAAACATTGCCGGTCACTCCCTTTAATCTTTAAAAATGTATATTTTGTGTAACCTTTGTGTTTCAGTTGAAATGTTGTGTAAAGAAATATTTGGTTTCCAGTTCATCTAAAAAAACATTATTGACAAACTCAAAAAACAAAGATTGTATAAGAAATTTGTAGTTTTAGTTTAATATTTTCATTTATTTAATTAATGTTTTTGTAAAAAAATATTTTTCTAAGGGATTGTTGTAGACATAAAATTAAGTGATTTTCCATTTCATAAAATGTCCGATTTACAACGGAACCTTTTAAAGCCTTGTCTTGTTAAGAAGAATACTTGAAGCACGAATCATCTTCTCTTTAAAAGTTGATTATCTTTAATTAATTTTTCTCTTTAAACTGATCGGCGCATTTCTTCTTCAGAACCAATACAGGGAAATTGTCAGAATTAAACCTTTTTATGTTAGAAAAACAAAAATATGTATTCAAAAAATTAACAAGATATAGGGTTAAAGACATTAGAAGACATCCTGTTCAGATGGAAGGTACTTAACATCACTAGGACAGTCCCTTCTATGGGTTTAAAAACATTCCAGAGATTTAAGACATAAAAAAAAACCTTATGAAAAGAATTAAGAAGATCAGGAGATACTGTCCATCCTAAAAATCAGGAAAAAACATTTTTGGCGGCTAAAAACTTTTCCAGATACAGGGTTACCCACAAAGTATGAGACTTCAGAGACGACTGTGTTTACTGTAAAGGTTTTCCTATCTCTGACAAAGCATTGAGAATGTTATTTAAGAACTATAATAGCAGAAAATTCAGCCTTCAGATCTTTATTATATGATTTTTAAAGTTTTAGGTTGTTATATATGTAAGTTGCATCCTCGGCGGGTAACCCTGTATATTCAAACCAACTAAAACAAGGGGGTGGAGGGGGGGGGGGGTAAGTTCATAAATGGCAAAAAAAATAATTCTTAAATTATTCATATTTTGACAAAACATCGAAAGAATTGTTATGAACAACTTTGTTATACAATGGTTACGGAGAAGGGATTGGAGGAAAAGGGGGGGTGGAAAGAGAGTGTTACAAAATCAAGTAAAAAGATCTGTAAGTATTCCCTGAATCCTTGAGTCTGTTTCTATGGTTTGGTTTGGTTTCTTCTTTCCTGGATTTTACAGCCGCCATATTATCCTTTCCTTTTAGAACCTTCGTGTCCTGTTGGGTCCAGGTATTCTTCTTATTAGAAGTTTGTTCCTCCTTCTTATTAGAAGTTTGTTCCTCCTTCTTATTAGAAGTTTGTTCCTCCT